AAAATAAAATATAAAGAAAAATTAGAAATTTTCAAAAAAAAAAATAATTTTATAGAAAGAAAATACTATATATAATAATAATATTACAAAAGATTCTGTTATATGAACTATTATACAATTAAGTTTTCTAAAAGATAAAGTAACACTAAAATTTTGTATTTAACTTTATTTAAAAAGTAATGCTAATGTAACTAAAACTGAAATAGTGAACAAAATAGAATATACAAAAAAAACCTGTAACAAAAAGTTAGTTTAATCAAAATTAAAACATCTTTAACAAATATTATAAACCTTAAAAAAATAAGACCAATAATCATACATTATAATATTATTGATGATTACTATATCTGTATACAATAAATTAATATTCTAAATCTTTTTACAGTACCAAGATGAAAATATAATTGTATAATAATAGTAATACATTTACAAATATTTGCAGAAAACATATGTGCTTATATTACAGTTAATACTAACTATAAAAATACATAAAAAAAAGTACATAACAACTATAAATTAATAATCCAGAATTTGATAAATTTAGTTATACTAATCAGTACTAATATATAAAAAGCCATGTATATCAAAGTAGTAGTAAGAAAATAAGAACCATTAAAATCAACCAATTTAGAAAAAGAAAAAATTATTACAAAAAGTAAGTAAGAGGATTACAGTTAGATAGAATTAAAGAATATAGTATAATAAGATAACTACAACCTTATTTTAGTTAGTAATAATGATTAAAATACTAAAAAACAAAACAGCAAACAAAGCACCAAAAAAACCATAAAATTTACAAAAAAGCAATAAAAGAAAATCAAAATAATAAAAAATTTAGTTGATCGCATTTAATTGAAATGAAAATCGAAAACCCATAATCACGTGCTAGAAAATTTTGTGGGTTAGCTATTAATAATTATCATCGTGAAACCGGCTCTCAATTTGAAAATACGTATGTTAATCGGTCCCGCAGTAATCGTCGGCCAAGATTTGTAAAAAATTGATATTTTTAAGTTTACATTAGTCTAGAAGGGACCGATCTACAAAATTTTCTCCAAACTGTTAGGTCCCTAATTGGTCCCATCTAAATTACTCAGAAACTAAAAAACCGATAAACTTTTATAAGACTATTCTAGAGAAATAACTTTTCTATAATATTACTGATTGAACGAATGTTAGTTGAAAATATCAATTTTTACAAATCTTGCTCAAAGTCAGCTGATAATTACTGCAGTACCGCTTAACACCAAAGTTCTTTTATTTATAATTCCTACCCCAAATCCATAAAAAACAAAAAGGCCCTAAAAATTTTAAAAATCGTACATAAAATCAATCCAAATTTCACAATGATCCAATTCCACGATCATCCTTGACATTATTTGATGAATAAATTAACAATCACATTGCTGACTGGCTTTAGCGCGATTCATCAGATGATTATCAAATTATCTTTATCTTTAATACGAACGTGAACAGCAAATTTGAAATTGTTAGAATTTGTTATATGTAAATCATTTGACAAGCTTATCGTAGCTATTAAGCCGATTTCACTTTGCATAAAAAGAGTCTTAAATAACCTAATCAATAACAATAAGCCTTTGAGGTCCATCTTCAGTCATTATAAGATCATCGTCTTGAACAATAACTTCATTTTCAATAACAGCAGGCCTTTTACGAGAAGATTCTTCCTGAGGATCAACCTCGGAATCATCAAGCTTTCTTTTATGTGCATTTGAATTAGCATTTGTGTGAAATCTAGGTGCTATATCTCCATCAATTTGAAACCAGGTATTTGGTGACTCGAATGTTTCTCTATAAGATTTATCCAGTATGTATCATCATTAAAAATTTCGGGTTTTGGTTTTATAATGTTCATTATCTTAACTTGCCTATGAGTTATTGCAAAAACGGTTGGACAATTTTCTTCATCCTCGTTTTCAGGAGTTACTTTCACCATTTTTCCATCGGTTATGTTTAATTTTTCGAAAGTTGCATCAAGATTGTCATCATATTCGACATCATATATAATTCTATATGAAATGAGGTATGCGTATAATGGTTTAAGTGTAATTCATGTGCGGGGAAAATTCACAACAATTTTAAGTCGGCTAACCTTCCACCTTCTTCCACTGAAACTTCACAAATGTCATTTTCATCTTCGTCGTGTCCCTGAACGACCTCTTTAAGGAAATCTCGTAAAGTTACTTTCTTAACATTCACATTTAAGGTAACATGTGCGGATTGACAAACAGAGCATTCTACATTAGGTTTATTTAAAGATTCCGAAAGAATGGATTTCGGTCGTCGATCCGGAGAACAATACACCTAATCTCCAAAGTTATATTTTTTGAATTACTTATTAAAAATACGATCAAAAACCATCAAGCAATACAAAGTAATATACTCATACTGTCTTGCATTCTTTAAAATCACCATTTAGAACTTTAAATGCCTGCATCACAATCATTCCAGCAACAATCGCATTGGTTGTCGCAATAGCTGGAATAATATTTCCGGCCATTGCTTAATTGACAAAAATGATAAGGAACACTTGGATTTAAAAGCATCAAAGTTTACAACGTATTCAAATAATTGACTACCTTTTACTTGAAATCGTGTTTTTTCTTCAATACCAAATATTCTTGCGCGTAGATTGGACGTTGCCGTTATAAAATCAATGGCATCAATGTCATCTTTATCAAAAGTCAACGATGCATCCGGGTTAGTCGCCTTTTCACCAAGCAATCGTGTGCTTAATCTTCTAATACTATAATTTACTAAAAATCAATAATAGAAAAATCATCTATAGAACTAATACTGTTATTTTAAAATTTAAAACCTGTCTAAAAATACAGAAAAATTCTCTGTTAAACTCCATAATCTTTGATCTCTTAAAGTATTATTATTATTATTATTATTATTATTAATTTGTTCAGGTTGCGATTCTGTATCTTTAAGTTTTTCCATTTCTTCATAAATGAGAGGAACTGGAGGCTTTCTGGTTTTCCACATATCCTCCATCGTTAGTAAGCGATTAATGTCATCGTTGAAAATTTTTTGAAAAGTTATTTTGGGATACTCTTGTGATCCCATCGCTTCTCTTATGCGTTTAAGCGCAAGCGTTTCCGCTTTGAGGTTTGCAATTTCATTGGCTAGGTAAATCATTAAAATATGATCATTTTATATGTGCTCAAATCACAGAGGTTCCTTTTCAAAATTCGTACCATTCTCATCATTAAGTTCTTTATCTAATTCTTCATCTTCATCTTCAGGTATTCCAAATAATTGACTAAATTAAAACAGTATGATAGTTTTAAAACAATAAATAGGTAGTGAAAGACGAACGATAATCATTATATCTACTTGAAAAGGTAGCTTTTTGCCCAAACAATACAATGGATTGGACTGCTCGGAGTGCTACGAATTGTGCAAACTGGATAGGTTTTTCGGGTTGGTTTGGGCTGACATTCATAACATTCAGTTTCTCCCTAATTTATCCAAAAGTTTTATTATCACCCTTCAAAGATATGGCTAATTAAATTCGTTATTTTGTAACCTACTTTTTTTATAATTGTCACTTGCCCAAGGTATCCTTCTGAGCCTGATTCGACTAACGGAATGTTTGCGACTAAGCACATAGTATTGACGTGACGCCTTGCATCTATGTTACGTGGTATCGAATTTATTTCATTCCTAGGTTTATTTTATATCTTAATGCATGAATGACAAATTCTAGATATTAAATGTTACCGAGATTATCTAAAGCGTTCATGACAATATCAAAGCTTTTAAACCACTCGATGTTGAATTGAGGATCTTTGATATTGGCGTGATGCGCGACGATGCTAGCGTTTGGATTGAATTTCAGAGCAGATTCACGAGCAACCTTTCAGGAGGTATAAAAAAAAGAACATAATGCATATAAAACAAGGGAATATGATCTGTTTACCAAAACTGGTACGCGAGACGTGTACGTACCTGTGCCTTTGATTTTTTAATATGTTGCTTTTGAAATAAAAACTGTCTATTTAAATTTGAAAGATCAATCGTATCCAGATCAACCTGAAAGTTTTTTAAAAAAAAAAGTTAGACTCAGAACATTAGAGAAGTGTTCGTTTTTTTAATTAAAGATAAACTCACCAGTTCAATTTTATTAAAACCGGACATGACTAAATTCTTCAAGAGCTCACAACCTATCCCACCAGCACCGACCATTAAAACACGACAGTTTCTAATTTTTTCAAACAGTTGTGAGCCCAAGGCAGCTTCATAATGAGAAAAACGCGGCATCTTGAAAGTATAGAGAAGAATATCTAGTTAATCGAGTTTGATTGGCTGTATTATGTACGACTCACATCACGTGACGAAGTGGTAAATTAATAAAAGTTTTAAACAGCATAAATTTTAATCATCCTAATGTTAAAATATGGCCGCATTTCTCGCGAAACGTTCGCACCTTACTATAAGATCCGCGATACCCGTTTTGCAAAGGTTTGTTTCCGGAAAGACGGCTGTTGCTACTCGAGATTCGAAAGAAAGCTCAGTTACAACAACGCCTGAAACTTCGCAAGTTATACCTGCTGATGTATCCGGTGCACCTGGTAAAGATTCCTTTTTATGTAAAAATATTAAACCTCATTTAATTTAAATATAAAAAATAGAGGAACTCCGATTCAGATCGGTAAGAATTTACAAACGCTCCAAAACTGCTATGCAATCAGGAGAACATAATACTAGGCATTGGAGAATTGATTTCGACGTTATGGGATCTAGTGGTGCCTGGGAAAACCCGTTGATGGGATGGTCCAGCAGGTAAGATGTAAAGAAATTAGTTTGGTGACAATAAACATTCCTTACACCTTTTATT